TATGCAAAACATTTTCTATACACTAGGAACAAACAATTGGAAAATAAAACTAAGAATACAGTGCCATTTATACCAGCATCAAGAATTAGAGTACTTAGGAATAAGTGCAAAACATGTATGCTCAAAACTACAGAATATCGCTGAGAGAAGTTAAAGAAGGCCTAAATCAGTGGAGAGGTATACCATGTCCACGGATAGGAAGAGTCAATTCTCCTACTATTGCTCTATGCAATTGATCCAACCAAGCATCACTCATCAAGTTCTGCTGGGCTTGCCTCCTGAGGACAGGTCAACACTGACCTCCTCTCTCAGCCGCCACTCCCTCCTGCCTGGAACAGAACACATCGTCTCTCCCCTGGGTGTCTGCAACAGCCTTCTGGGTGGTCCCCTATCCCCAATTCATCTTTGATACTTCAGCCAGAGAGATTTCAAAACTACATGTCAGGCCCAGCTTAAAACCTTGCTGTGGCTCCCACTGCCCCAGAGGTAAGATGCAAGCTCCTTACATGGCCCTTGAGGCCCCTGTCTACCTCTCCAGCTTCAGCCCTGGCCATGTTCTCTGACCCCACTCCCACAGTACAGACACAGAGCTTCTTCCCATTCCCGAGGGCGGGGGGTGCCCAGGAACACTCTCTTAGCCCCTCCTCCGCACCTGGCTGATTCTAACCTGGTCAGGGAACACCTCTACTGCCATCACCCTATGCCTACCTGTCCCCTCAGAGTCAAGATTCTCAAGAGCACCTGTGTTTGGGTGGTCCTCCCTAACAGATGATGTGAGCTGTGGCCACAGGTGCGCTGGGTGTCTCAGCCACAACCCCAGCACATGGCACCCGGCCTGCCACCACAAACATGCTTTCAAGTGTCTTTAGAATGAAACAACAGTGGGGCATGTGGTGGTGGAAAGTGATTTGTGGATCCTGGCTGGTGTTCTCAGTGGGGCTTGGAGGACGAAGAATGAGTCCATGACAACCGGAACAGAAACACACACGCGCATTGCCACAAATGCCATTGTCACATCTCCCAAACACACATAATGCCCCTGGAGCCCATGGGGGACACAGGACTAGCCCCTGGCAGAACAGCCCAGCCCCACCTGACTGGCCTCGTGCCCACTCCACTCTGTCTAGCCTCCTGCCTAGGAAGCTCTGCCCGGCCAGGCCCCCTCCCTGACATCTGCTCTCAGGGCACAAGGATCTGGATACTTACCCCAGTGTCTGGACCTCCAGGCCTGGAGGAGGAAGGGGTGAGGACAGTGAGAAGAGGACCGGGCACCAGGAAAGGTTCCCACCCAGAAGACATATACCCATCGTTCCTGGAGCAGGAAGTGACAGGGAGAGGAAACCCAATCAGGCTGGTGTGGGGCAAAGTCTGCCAGGAGGGTTGGGGGAGGTGTCTACCACATACACCCAGACCTGCCAGGCTGGATCTGCCTGAGCCTCAGGCCACCTGGGAGCAGGGCAGTTGTCCTCACCCTCACAGCCTATGCATGTCCACATGTGGCCTGGGCCTGGTGTGCCCCTGGACTTGGCCCTGGGCACACAGTTGACGTGGGCTGGGCCCTGCTGCTGGGTTGCCAATACATCCAGGTCCCACCTGGACAAGTGCTCACTTGACCGTGGAGCCTCAGGCCAGGAGCTGCTCACTGGCCCCAGCGCCAGGCCAGGCCGGGTCAGTTACTGCAGCTGGACCAGCTCAGACCCTCTCCAGGGACTGTGGTTCCTCCTCAGCAGGGCTGGGCTGAGCTGGTCCACCCCAGCAGGCTCGTCCAGGGCCAGGACCCCGAGGCAAACCAGAGGGCCAGAGCCCTGGACTTGGGACGCCCCATCAGCACAGCCAGAGCCGTCATCATCCTGTTTTACCCTGAGGATAGTGGAGAGAGGATAGCCTCTGGCTCAGGGTCACACAGCCCAGGCCTGGCTGGGAGGCGCCCCCCACCCCCCAGGAACAGGAGCAGGTCCCAAACGCCCCAGGGGAGAGTCTCCTCCAGTGCTGATGGCTGGTGCCTGAAACACACCTGTCATGTATCTGGGTGGATAAAGGACGCTGGACGGCCCCGCAGGCCAGGGGCTGGGAGTTGGGGAGCACGAGCCACTTCTTAGGGCCCAGAGAATCCCACTTTCCCTGGCCCGAAAGGGCCCCTGCCCAGTGGCCCCCGTGACGGCTGCCTCCCGGAGGGCTGCAGTTCCATCTTTGGTGGCTGCAGACCCTGACCTTGTCCTTGACCTGACCTCCATGGGTGCTGGACCCTGCCTTCCACCTGAGCCCCATGGGGGCCGGACCCTGTCCTCCACCTGACCCCGATGGGGGCCAGACCCTATCTTCCACCTGACCCCCATGGGGGTCGGACCCTGTCCTCCACCTAACCCCCACGGGGGTCTGACCCCCACAGGGGCCAGACCCTGTCCTACACCTGACCTCCTGGTGGAGGCCCAGGCTGGTCAGCAGACCCATCTAGGTGGTGTCTACTTAGCCCCCGGCACCCTTCAGGTTAAGGATGAGAAGGGTGGGGGGAAGGCTGCTGGGCGGCCTCTGGAGGTCAGACTACCTCTCAGGGTGGGGGCAGGAGCAGTTGGCAGCATTTTACTCTCTGGGCTCATCTGGAGGGGCCCCCAGTCACCCTGTTTGGAGGGGCGGGGCAGTGGAAGATGGGGGCGTGAATCTCTGTGGGGACGCTTTGGCTTTCCTGCTTTCACTCTGCCAACAATACCAGCAGTGGAGGACAGCCCAACTGATTGACGGATTGACTGACTGATTGACCGACGGAGCAGAGAGGGGAGGGCCTGAGGAGGCTGAGGCCGAGCCGGGCTGCAGCTCAGGGCAACCTTTGGTGGCTCCCTGGTGGCCCAGCAGCCGGTGGTCCCAGGGGGCAGTGGAGGGAGCCCATCCCCATAGCCTCCCCTGGCCACCCTGGGTGCGAGTAGACCTCGAGACCTGCAGGGCAACCACAGCCACTGTGCAGACAGACACCCTGCACGGGTGATGCATGGACACCGGGTGCCTGCTGGAGGTCAGCATGGCTTCCGCCCTCCCTCCTCCATCTGTCACAGTGATACTTCTAGGCAGCTGCCTCCGAGAGGCCGGCCACTTGGTCCCATGCGGGACTGTGACAGGCCACATCCGCTCCGAGCGCCCAGCCTTGGCCAAGGCCTGAGGCTCTCTGACTTCTCCCTGGGCTATCCCACCTGCTCCCCTCCCTAATGACCATCTGTCTGGGGTGAGGGAAGCCTCTTGAGAATCCGCCGGGGCAGAGTAGCGTCAGGGCTGTGGGTTTTGGAGCTGGGTCTCTCACTGCCTGGCTTGACTGGCCAGGAGGACCATGGCTGAGGCAGAGGAGACAGCCGGCCCGTTCCCCAGGGTGGACGTGCTCTGGGGACTTAGCGTATGCAGGTTTGAGATGCACAGACGAGAGGAACTCCAACGGGGCCTCCAGTGCTCTGTGGTCGGTGAGGCAGGGGCTGTTTACAAGGAGGCACTCTTCTTTTTACTCTCTGGGCCCATCTGAAGGGGCGGGGCAGTCGGAGATGGGGGCGGTGAATCTCAGCGGGGGCACTTTGGCTGCAGGGCAGAGAAAGCGAGGACCACAGCCAGAACCTCAGTCCCAGCGTCTGAATCATGGCCAATGCCGTCCACTGGGCCGAGAGGTGGGACCTGGACAGGGAGGGGGGCTGCTGGGTGGGGCCCCTGAAGACTTCACTCCCAGACCTGTGGGATGCTTGAGCCTGCATGCGGATGGATGTGGCCCACTGCTTGCTGCAGACAGCACAGGGCCCTCAGGACACCGCGTCCCAGCCCCGCCCTGCCCCAGGTCTCCCACCAGGCCTGCATGCTGACGGGGTACTTGCCCAGCTCTGCAGCACCTGCTCCAGAGGGTGTTCTGGAGCTGCTGCCTTCCCAGGTGTTGGTCGCCAATAAACAAGGGCCCCCATCAGGAGAAGTGACCACAGCCCCCATGCAGGACACCCCCACTCACGGGGGCATGGACTCCTGCTGAGGACTCTGGCCTGCTGCAGTGTGCCCCAGGGCCTTGCCTCTAGTAGGCAGCCACGGCCACCCCGCCCCAGTCAGCAGAAGCCAGGGGCCAGGGAGAGTGGGCAGGTGTCTCCACAGGAAGGAGGCTCCTCCAGGGTCTACTGATGGGGCCTAATGTTGAACTGGGGGTGGTGAACCCCGATGAAGACACCTGGCACCCTGTCCAGTGGGGACAGGGGACACATGCGGCGGGAGGCAGGCTGGGTCAGGAATCGGGTGGGTGGGGGCAGTGGGCACAGGCCGATGGGGACACCGATGTCAGGAGCCATGTGGTAAGCAGGGGTCAGAGGACAGCCAGGTCTAAAGCCATGTCAATCACTCCACCCAGCCCACCCCTGCAGGGACCTGCAGAGTAGGGGTGACACTGAAGTGGGGCTCTCAATGACCCGACCAGTGACCACAGCACGCCCTTGGAATCTTCTGGCCTTACTGCCACCTCATGCCCCTGGGGGCCCCTGGATGCCCACTCTGGCAGGCCGGGATGCAGGTGGGACCCAGACCCACCAGGCCCTCGGGCTCACTTGGGCAGTGAGAGGACGAGGCAGGAGCAGTGAGGGGACGAGGCTGGGGTCCTGAGGGGACGAGGCCAGGGCGGTGAGGGGACGAGGCAGGGGCGCCTGGGAAGAAACATCCTCCCCATTGTCCTGTGCTCTGGGGAATCTGGCCGGTGGCTCCAAGCCCAGGCGGACTCTGCCTCTGCCCTCGGAAGCAGCCGCTCCCTTTCCAAGACCGTCCTCCTTCGTCCCGGAGCAGCCGCTCCCTCGCCCTAGCCCTCTCCTCTCACTCTGGGCCAGCTGGAGGAGGCCTCTGCCCCGAAGTTGCCCTGACGCGCCCCAGAACCTAACCTCTGCGGCTCCCACCCCTCGAGAGCAGCCCCGCGTCTGCTTCCATCCGTCTGCACCTCCATGCCCTCCTCCCCAATCCGCTCCAGCTGTGCTCACCTCCCACCCCAAAAGCACCCCCGTTGGCTGGCTGGAGCTGCGAGGCCCTTCTGTCCCCCAACGGCCGGCTTATGGACAGCTGACAACCCTGGGGCTGCTCTGAGACAAGAGCAATCTGTGAACGGCCTGGTGTCCGCTTCTTTATTTATAAAATTACCTCTTAAAAACACTTCCCCTGGTGGCATAATGGTTAAGAGCTTGGCTGCTAACCAAACGGTGGGCAGTTTGAATCCACCAGCTGCTCCTTGGAAACCCCGTGGGGCAGTTCTACTCTGTTCTAAAGGATCACTATGAGTCGGAATCGACTCAACGGCAACAGGCTTTGATTTAAAAGTTAAGACAAGATTTGTTGCCAAACACTCTTGCCTGGCATAAGGCCTCTCTCTGGTCAACGAGATGGTCAGCTGGGACGTGGTGAAGCTCCTGTCTGGGCCCAGGGGCTCCGCGCTGAGGTTCTTGCCTCTCTCAGGCCCTGCTCCACCCCAAGGCCTTCTGGGCAGCCGTGGCGGTTTCCTCCTCCCGTGCCCTGGGGCCCTTCGCTGCTCTCCACGGTGGTGCATCCTTCACACCGTCGGCAGACCCCGCAGAGCTGAGGCGGGGACACTGTGTGCAGGTACCCTGGGCCCAGCAGAGGGTGGGCAGCAGCCTGGTCACTTGAGCAGACACGGGGTCACCTTGTCAGGTCTTCATTAAGGCCGTGAAGGAGGCCTGTGGGAGGAGACGGTGAGGCCCCACACGGCCAAGCAGGATGCCTGGTCCCCTGACCCCTGGCCCACACATACCTCCTGAAGGAGCTGGCCCAGCCTCTCTCGACTCTGGAGGGACCGCCTGCAGGAAACTGCCATCAGCCCGGGCCCAGAGGGCAGCTCTGCCAGGACGGCAGGCTGGAGGGCTTTCTGAGACATGGGTGACCCACCTCCCACACCAGGGCCCACCTGTCTATCCTGGTCGCTATGGTGACGGTGAAGGCTGCCTCTGTGTTGGGCAGGTAGGTAGAAGGCACGACCCCATAGGTGCCCGCAGGCAGGCGGCACAGCTGGCTCACCTCCAGGGCGTGGCGGTGAGGCACACAGCTGGACAGCGGCTCCTGACACAGTGGGGAGGGCTCGTCCTGGCTCCCACCGCCCCCAGGAACCTGGCAGGGGCAGGGGCTCAGGTGGGGATGCACGCAGCACGAGGTTGACAGGCGCCCCACGGCCCTGGGGGGGTGCATCGCCCGCCTTCCCCAGCATCTCAACCCCGTTCTGGGGCTCTGGGGACTCACCGGGCTCTGTGCCCCCGTCACCTCTACAAACTACTCCCCTGCCCCGGCAGGGCCCTGTTGGGGGCAGGCGGTGCTCAGTCAGAGGTCCCCGCCCTGGCTCTGCATCAGGACCATCAGGCTGAGGCCCAGCCCCGGAGGGCCCTGACAGTGGTCCAGGGCTCAGGCTCCGTGAGTCCCCTGTCACTGTGAGGCCAACGCAGCCGCCTGCCAATGGGTGGGCGCCTTTCGCTCTCACAGAGAACAGGGGTCAGGGGTGCGGTCTGAGTCCCAGCTGACAGGGAAGCTCTGGAGCAGCGGCTTCCTCTGTGTGTGCTGGGCGGGCAGGTGCCAGGCGGGGGGGCGGGGGGGCCTCCACCCAGCACACTGGTGGGGGACGTGGCTCTGGCAGAGCAGAAATGGCTGCAGACGGTCGTCCCAACGGGGCTGCACACAAGCGGCTTCCTGAGCCGACCCCAAGGACCCTGATAAACTGGGGCCTCAGACACCTTACCGTGCATTTTCTCACGTGTACGACCCGTGGCTGATCTAGCTGGTGTGCCCACACCACTGAGCCCAGCCTCTGCGTGACCCCGTGTCGGCCCGGATGGCGCGGGCCCGAGACAGGGCCTCAGCCATTACCCAGACCAGGCCGAGCAGCCCCGCCCGCTGGCACCGGTGGCTGGGAAGCAGCGAGGTCTTGCCTGGAAGACGTGGAAGCCGATGGGGTGGCAGGCGCCGTCCTGGCAGTGCTGGCGCAGCGTGATGCGGACGCAGCGGGTGCCCCCGCCCGTGGGCACCGAGAAGGGGAGGCAAGGGTTGCTGGGGTAGGAGGCAAAGTTCCTGCTGCCACCCGCCGTCTGCCCGGTCTGCCAGCAGCCCTGCAGCAGCACAGTCTCCCACTCCCCCGCAGGGAGGGCACCCCCGGGGGCTGGGCTCCTGGAAGCCAGCTTGATGGCGCTGTGGGGAGGGTGACAGGGACCAGGCTGAGGGCAGTGCGGGTGGCCCGTCTCCAAATGGGCACGAGCGAAGGCTGGCTGAGCCCACAGCCCAGGGACCCCAAGAGGCACCTACCTGAGGGAGACCCTCCCGGAGGAGAAGGCACGCAGCAGGAACTGGCCCGATACGTCCTTGAGGAAGGTGCTGGGCACGGCCAGGTAGTATCCCGGGGAGAGTTCGCAGCAGAGGTGGACCTCCCGGTCATACGCGTGGCAGGGCGTGCCGGCCGCGGGGGGCGCCGACAGGACTCGGGGCAGGCTGACCCGCCGCTTCTCGACCTGGGGGGCACAAGAGGGTAGGCTCAGCAGGGAGGGGAGGCCTGCTCACATGCATGCCAGTGGCCCTCCCACAGCCTCTCGCAGAATGAGCAGGTGGAGCGCAGCCTCTCCATCCTCTTGCGGCCAGCAGGGGCCCCGTGAGGCTGGGCTCTCACCAGCCTGCTGGCCAGCGGCTGTCCCAGGCACCAACCTACAAGCCCTCGTGCTCAGGAAGAAAGCACACACCCAGACGGGGTGGCCCCCATCACCGCCCGGTCCCCATCCCGTCCCTGGCCCACATCCTGGCTGGCCCCATCCTGACCCCAGTTGGACGGGGAGCCCGGCCGGGAATTACCTTCCACACGTGTAGGCCCACGGCCTGGAGGTCCCTGCCCGGGAGGCTGGCTGGGCCCTGTGTGGCATGGTTGTCCCCTGCCCGGCCCGCCCGGTCAGCCGTGCTGGCCCTGGGCCTCTGCAGGACAGCCAGGCACACTTCGCTCGGCTCCCAGACCCGCACCCAGAACTTGGGGTTGCTGGGGAAGCTGCTGTTGTTTCGGCACCCTCCAGCCGACTGCCCTCTGACCCAGGCCCCAGACAGCACCTGAGTGTGGGGCAGCGCCTTTCCTGGTGTGAAGGGAGCTTGTGTCAGTCTGGGGTCAGGGCCTCAGAGACAGCGGCCCACTGGGCTCACGGGAAGAGGCAGGGCCGAGCATCACTCCACTGACAGGTGGACGGACAGAGCACCAGCCCCTGCAAAGAGCCCCCAGGCCGCCCCCCCACCCCCCGGTCAAGTGCCTGAGTGTGAAGGGGACTGAGGCAGGTTGGGCCGAAGGAGTCACCTGAGTGAAGGCTCTGCAGGTGGCCATCCTCTGAGACCGGGAAGCCGATGGTGAGCTCATCAAACTCAAGAAGGAATTCCTCCTCGTCCACCCAGAACTCCCCTTCCTGCAGCTGGGACAGGAGTGCTGTCGCCTCTGCCGCCTCGACTAGGCTCCACCCCTCACCTCTGGAAGGAGTTTTGTCTCACCCAGCCAGTCCTGGGGGACTGACAGCACCAGGCGGGCAGGGCAGCCAAGGAGGCAGCACAGTGTGTGTCCCCACAGGCCCACCAGTGCCAGCTCCAGGCCACCTGGCCCTCCCTCGCAGCTGGGCACCACCCGGCCCCTCCCTCACAGCTGGGCACGCCCTGTCCCTCCCTCGCACCTGGGCACCACCTGGTCCCTCCCTTGCAGTTGGGCACCACCCCATCCCTCCCTCGAAGCTGCTCACCGCCCAGCCCCTCCCGCACGCACCCCTCTCTCCAGCGCCCCCGCCAGCACGGCCGGCCCCAGGGATTGTGGATGCGGAGCAGCAGGACGCCCTGGCCAGCACGGGAATCGAGCTCCCGGAGGTCCGAGATAATGAAGGCGTGGAACTCCCCCAGCTCCTGGGCTCCTGTGTGAGGATCAGACGGATCACTGCAGGAAGGGCCCCAGATGACCCCAGACTGAGCAGGGCGCACGGTCTCCACTTGCTGCCTTTCCCCCAATCGCGCTGCGCAGGCCCCCTGGCTCGTTCCCAGTCGCTGTGGGTCGGAGCACAGGAGCATCCTCAGCAAGGGCATAGACCGTGGAGGGTGTGGGCTGGGTTCAGCCACCACCCAGGGCCTGCTTCACAGCCCTTAGACACTCTGCTGTTATGATTGTCCCCCACTGGCCTGGATCTGCCGAGACACAGAGAACGTGCCTCTGGGCAGAGTCAGAGGGGCAGTGGAGGCACTCAGGGAGCTGCCACAAGAGTCCAGCCGGGGACGCCCCACTTGTCCAGCACCTTGGGGCACAGAGGTGGAAGTGTTGGGGGGTGGGCAAGCGAGAGCAGAGCACCTGTCCAGAGGGGAGGAGGCCTTTAAGTGCTTTACTTAGAAAGAGGCTGCTGCCCATGTCTGGCTCCAGCTGAC